GTTTAATAGCACTTGCACTATCCATATATAGGGTGACATGTCCATCAAATGAAGTGATTTCACCAAGTAGACGTTTTACCCAAATCAATTCCTTGGTTGCCTCGCTTGCAGCAATATATTCTGCCTCAGTGGTGGAGAGAGAAACACTCTTCTGCTTCTGACTGAACCAGGTTACTGCAGATCCAGCATACATACATACAACACCAGATCTCGATTTCCTGGAGAGTGTGTCACCAGCGTAGTCGGCATCACTGTATACTCTGAGAATTCTCTGATTTTTCGCACTGTAGAACAATCCGAAATCGATGGTTCCTTTAAGATAACTCAATATGCGTTTGACAATACGCCAATCGGATATCTTAGGTGAACTTAGTTTTTCTGAAACTATACTTATGGCGAAAGCAATGTCTGGACGAGATCCAGTCATAATGTACATGAGGCTACCCACTGCTCCACGATAGGGTACACTGCTATCCAATTCTTCACTAGAATCACCAACAAGATAAACTCCAGTATCACAGGGTGTTGCAATTGGTTTACAATCTTGCATATTGAAACGATTCAGTACTTTATTTATGTATATACTTTGGTTTATGAATATACTACCGTCACTGAATCTGTTCATCTGCAGACCAAGATAACAAGCAAAGTCCCCTTCAGTGATCTTGAATGTATTTCGTAATTTATTGAGAAATGATGATATTTCCCTATCATCGCTGCCTGCAATGAGTCCATCATCGACATATATAGCGACCAGGAGTGTTCGATTATTCCTCACACGGATAATCAGGCATGGATCCGATGAACTGCAGATCATTTCTTCATTTTTCAAGAAGTGTACAAAACGGGTGTTCCAGCATCGTGGCGACTGCTTCAAACAATACAAGCTCCTATTCAGCTTACACACTCGTCCTGTATTGTCATTGAATCCTTCTGGTTGATTCATGAATACTTCCTCCTCAAGTTTACCGTATAAAAACGCTGTTTTTACATCGAATTGTGAGAGTATCATGTTTTCTGAGGCTGCTACACTGAAAACAATCCTGAGGGTATCAAAACGAGCCACGGGGCTGAAAGTCTCATTGTAGTCTATACCCGCTTTCTGGTTGAAACCTTTTGCTACCAGCCTAGCTTTATAACGACAAATTTTACCATCTGAATCTGTTTTCACCTTCAGAACCCATCGATTAGGAATGAGTTTACTTCCTGGAGGCGAATCAACCAAACTCCATGTGTCGTTTTCTGCTAAAGATTGCATCTCTTCAGCCATAGCATTCTTCCATAGTTCTGCGTCACTTGACTTCATTGCAGCTTCATATGACCGTGGTTCATCATATTCTGCAAATAATACTTAGTCGTTCAAGTATGACGGCATTCTGACTATACGTCTGCTGTCATGATGCTGTAGGGATTCATCGTTTCTTCGCTCATTTTCTTCTTCCTCATGCTCATTTTCTTCCTCCTCCACATTGACTTCGCTCACTGGATCATTCTGCAAAGTCGAAACTTCTTCTTGGATTGAAAGTCGTCTCTCTTGGTTCTCTCCTGCTACTACTTGCATGTTCATCCTCAACTGTACCTTGTCCTCTATAATCTTCCTTCATGTTAAGCTGTACCTTTTTCTCTACAACTTCTTCAGACTTGAAGATTACATCTTTGCTCATAACAACTTTGTTTCCATCTGGAATCCATCTACGATAACCATCTTCATCTCCACAATAGCGAACGAATCTACCTTCAGTGCTTTTCTTGTCCCATTTTCTCCTCGTTTGTTTGGGCACATGAACGTAACAACGAGTACCAAAGATACGTAGACTAATTGTTGATATTTCTTTGCTTTGCCAGAGCTCAATGGGAGATTTTCCAACTACTGTTGTTGGACCAGTACGATTGAGAACATACGAAGCTGTATTCACAGCTTCTGCCCATAGCTTTATCGGCAAATCTTTTGTATGCAGCATGGTTCTTGCACTTTCCACGAGCGTTCGATTTTCTCTCTCTGCAAGACCATTTTGCTGTGGACTGTATGGCATTGTTATTCGAATAGAGATTCCTTTTGATTGCAAGATGGCTTTAACTCCGGCGTTGTCGAATTCTTTACCGCCATCACTCAGGAACTCTACGATTCTATGTCCTGCAGCATCTGTTTCATTCAGGAATATCTTGAGACTGCTTGCAACTTCAATCTTCGACTTGATGAAGAAAACCCGCCGATATCTCGTGAAATCATCCTTGAAACAAACATAATACTTGGCTCCGCCTAGTGAATCCACTTGCATTGGTCCACAGACATCAGCATGGATTATCTCTCCTGGTTTGGAAGGTCTGTTTTGTCTTGATCTGAATGGGGATCGATGTTGTTTCCCCAGAATACAGCCTTCACAAAGCATATCACCACAATCATGCTGTATACCAATGTTATGACGTTTCAAAATACTTTTGACATGATGTTTATTTTGATGACATAACCTTTCATGCCAAAGTTGAAGGTTTTCGGATGACGAAGTAACATAAACCTCACTAGAATTCTCCGGTTTGCAAGCAATCATATTCAGAACATACAACCCTTTCTGGTTTCTTCCTCCGCTCAGACGAATCACTCCACCTTTCTTGATAAAACAGCTATCCTGGTTAGCTTCAAAGTGGTAACCCTTGTTGAGAGTTTGCCCAACAGAGAAAAGGTTTCTCTTGATATCAGGTACATACCACACGTTTTCAAGATGATTCATGAACGTTTTATTGTTGACTTCCATCTGAACATTGATATTTCCTTCACCGTAAGCCAAAATAACAGCACCATTACCGACCTGAACTTCTTTTGGAGTTACAAAGGGTTGAAAATCGATGAAATATTCATTGTTACTTGTCATGTGAGCCGATGCACCTGAATCAGCTAACCATTGCTCATTGCTTCCAACATTGTTCTTCGTGCTCTTGGTCACACTAGAAAATGCAGCTCCTTCAGCATCTGCCTTGTTTGCTTCATCCAAGCGTTTCTTATTTGGACAGTTCTTGGCGAAATGACCGACTTCATGACATTTGAAACATTTCCTAACTGGTTTTGATGATCTTCCTAATCGTTTCGTGTTAGATTTAGCAACAAAAGCCGTTGTGTTGTCATTGGGCTTCACAGGCAATCTCATCTCAATCAGGCGTAAACGTTCAGTCAGCTTGTTGATCGTTCTCTCGGTCACAGAAACTGATTCCCAAACACTTTTAAATTCGAAGTACTCACATGGAAGAGTAGACATAATTCTACTCATTAGCAACAATTCTGGTAATTCTACATGCACTAGCTTTTTCATTTCATCGTTCAGTTCACGAAAATTTCTTTGGAGTCTAGCTATGTGAGTAGCTATGTCTTCAGAAGGATCCTTTTGTGAACTAAAAAACTGTTCCATCAGTCTATCGATCCGTTGTCCAGAGCTCTGTTCATATACAGACAAAAGTTTCTCCCATGTAGAATTCGAGGTGTCGCAAGTCGCTGTTAGTTCGACATTTGCGTCATTCATGCTACCAACTAAAATCAGCTGAGCTAATGCATCTAGTTTCTTGAAACGTTTCAAATCTGCATTGAACTGAATGATAGCTTCTGGTGTAGCAATATCACCTGGATCACCTGGAGATTGAATCTCTCCAGTTGTAACTTCGAGAACTTCATGATCTCAGCAAAAGCTCAATCTGTCTTCTCCATTTTGTCCAATTTGATGCTCCTTCTAGTTTATCGATATGTGCTTTGAACTCCATATCGTTATTTCCTCTCTTGTTTCTGCACTACTATATGCGTAGTCTGGGCCCGTAACCTGTTGAGCTATGTGGTAGAAACTATAATTCCAATGGGAATTGCAAGGAAATCTACTTTATAAGAAGATACAAATCTGATTGACAATATTATTTTATTATCGACAGACAACTGAACTAATATCAATAGAATGAATGGCACACTAGATCAACATATACAGGATGATAATTTTATAAATTCAACAGCATCTATTGTTTGGCTGCAGTTATTCCTGGCATCAACGTATTCTGCTCTAGTCGCGAGGTTAGGGTTTTTGCGCCAGCGATAGTAGGCTGTTTCTAGGCAACAGTTCCAGAACAGTTTTTGTTGAACCAGGGTTTCGATGGTGATCATCTTTTCGAAGAATCTTAACAATATTTTTGCGAACCTAATAACTATTTACTCGGAAACGGCGAATTCAACATAAAATAGTGTTACTAGCTCTCTCTTTCAAATAACGATTCTCTACCTACATACCGGAACTATTGAACCTTCCGAAATTTACAGTTAATATGAATTCACTAATTTTTTGAGTCATTCCTGTTAATTTGTTGGAATTATGTGTTTTTTTGTATATGAAGGTTCAAAAACATAAAGAACAATAATATAAAGTTAGTTTTCTTGCGAAAAAATCCTAATATGATTTCATAAAAATCGACCACATTTTACTTGGCACTGTCCAACAGGAAGTTCGTATCTGAAATACTGATCATATTGATGGTTATTCATATCGGTCCAAATTCGGCACGACTCACACCACTAATAGCTGAGATATAAAGGGGGAGGGCGATTGAAATGAGACATGCTGTAGGTAATATTAATGTTGAATATCTAGTCATGATACAGATCTATTTCAGAGGACGCTGTCCAGTGGGTACGCGGATTTTTTCTGAAAAATCGCTAATATGGATTCTGGATTTATCAGCCTTCGAATGTGATCAAGTAGGCCCTAATCTTTATGAAAAGAGGAGCTCCAGAATACACCTCTTTTCCCTCTACATTTAAAAAAAAATCGTGAAAAAGGGTCACTCTGTACTATATGGTAAAATATGTTCGAAATGTTCTCACCTATCACCCCCCTTCCAGATATACGTAGGTGAACCAAACACCCTGTGTGATTTTTTCTACATACATCTACCGATTTAGTTGAGTGAATCACCCTATACCTTATATTCATATTGCATGTATTTTTGACTATGATTTCCTTAATATGAATTAGATCTTGAAAGTGAAATGTATCAACTATCACATCTGCTTTCTGAACAGAAATCGTTACTTACTGCTTTATCTACCACATCAATATTGGAAGATTTAGTACCTATGAATATTGACCATGAGAATAAAGTAAATGAAAAAGATTTAGAGGAAGACAATAAACAGAAACTTGCTGCAATTTTGGAAAAAGTTGAAGGTTGCAAGGTAAAAAAATCCACATGATGTTTTGAATATTTGTTGTAATTCAATATTGTCGTTTCCTCAAATACTTGTTCAGGAGCTGTTGGAAGTCCCAGGCAGAACATTTTTGTATGAAGGTGATCTATTGGAAATTGATCCCACAGAAAATACAGCACTGAAGACTGTTCATGTGTATTTATTCACAGATGGCTTCATGATAACTAATCGGAACTCAAATAGGTACCTTCTATTTTTCACTTCCTAAGCAAAAGCTTTTCTGTTGCTAATCCTTTTTTTTTTCAGTCGTTCACTGATGAAATATATTTACGAAATTATGTACGATCTTAGTAGTTTGGCGGTGGTGAATGTGAGAGATTTGGGTAATGTTAAACATGCTTTCAAACTTCTGATATTTCCAGATACTAGGGTGTTCCAGTGTTCATCCAATGGAAATAAAGTGAGTGTTGCTTGTGATAACAATGGTATTTTGATTTATATAGTGGGTTGACATGTCATACTATAGAAACGCAGAAATTACGGTAAAGCAGCAAATAAACCAGTTTGACACGTATTTTGATATATGATTTGACTTGATATGAATGATAGGTATCAATTTTAATTTACATGAAGTGGGTTAACTTTATTATTTCATAAACAATAATGTAGGATCGGCCCTCATATAGGGCGATAATTTGGATTTTGTACAGAAACACCACAATAACTTATGAGGCATACCGATTATTTAAACGTTTGTTGAAGTACCTGATAGCTCAAAGTGTAAAAGTTTAGTTAAAGGATGACAGAAAGCTCAAAATCATTTCCAATTCAATTCATCATTATTTATTTAGTTAGCAACATGTTTCGGATTCAAATAGAATCCATCATATGAAATATTTTCATCGATTTAATTCCAATTGATTAAAGATAATGAATGGATAATTAGCTCTGAATTATTATTTTTCAATGCATAACATATATAATTCAATATTCTGGGGTATTAGCCAGAAAAGTACCTAGTTGTTTTCTGTTAGATATTTCAATAATTATTGTCTTATTTCTAAAGAAAGATATCCCCAACCATTGGACGATGGGAAACATTGATTATAGATCTTATATAAAAGATTGATAATTATTCGTGGAGTATCGCACATCAGATATTATAATATATAGACAATTCACTGTGTATATATGTTATAATATCGACACATCAAACATAAAATTTGCCATTTTATAAACGAACGACAAACAAACAAGAATAAAGGTATTAGACACAGTGGAACCGCAGTTTCGTCCAACACAGAACTATACAGGATGTTCCTTAATGATATGCTGATATTCAAGGGGCCGATTATTCGACCCATTTCAAGATTCAAACTCCATATGAATTTATCTCGAAAACGTCCCAACCTTTGAGATACAGGGTGTCAATGTTGAAAATATGCATATATTATTTTTTATCCACCCTGTATCTTTTCGTGATGGCAGAATTCAGTCTGCTATGTGACTGGATCGGTATGAAGATTTCAAAATGTTACATACTGTGGTTATCCAGTAATGGATGTCCTGAATGGAGTACTCAGACATCGAAATTTCAAGTCTGGTCTCATTTCTTCTCTGAAACGAAGCGTTCTATCGAATATCAAAAAGAGGATTTTTTCGTACATAATTGCATAGCCTTTCATAGCATTGTACAAAATTTGAAAATCGTCCGTCGTTGCTCACTTTGTAGTAAAATATAAACAATAATATTCCCGTACTGGTGCCACTAGTAGAGAAAATGAAAATTTTTGTGCATCAGAAAATGCACCTTGATGAATAAAATATGTGTACCAAATTTCATGAAGATATAAACAATTTTGTCTCATTTATTATAAAAAATCTGAATATTTTTCAAAACTCCCATCACCCTGTATCTCAAAAGTTAAAACTTTTAGGACATATGTTCATATGAAGTTTTCTTCTGAAAATAAATCAAAGAATCACCCCCTCAAATATTAGCGTGTCTTTAAGGAACACCCTGTATATGTTATATATTCGCGTAGGTTTCTATCTTTGATCAATATGTTTCAAAACGAAATTGCGCATTGAACACTATTCGACTTGAGTGAAGTTTACTTATTTTATTTCATGGAATGGATATATATAAAATTGTATGTCATCTGCTGATGATCTTTTACAATTTTATATATCGAACAACGTTGTAACCAACCTCACCAAAAATTATTCCTGATGATGGAAATAAACATTTCCGAAAGCTTGGATAAACTTTAAAGAGTATTCCTTTCACACTGCTGCTACCCCCAATATACACTGGTTTCATTCCTACTAGTCAGCAACGACTTCCCTTCCATATATATATGTATATACATATATAAAATATACAGTATTCACAAAAATCGATCATTTTTTATTTTAGAAAGATTGGTTGGATCAATTTGATCAAGCTAAGAAAACGAGGCTGACCCAAGAGCAGCAAAAAAGGGAATCTATTGTAGATAAATCACCTTCACGTAGTGTATCTGTGGACTCACCTAGTTACAACCGTAATTATTACTGCTATTTTTTATTTTCTTCATGTGCAAATTCTACCATTTCAGTCTGAAAAAGTGACTGGTTGAAAACTATCAGGTTTTTCAAATGCATATATGAAATAATATTTCTGTTTTATGACCCAAAATACTATACCTTTTCAACTTCAATTTCGGAATCGGTGAGTTATATTTCGGAAAAAGTAATCTCGATTTCAGAATTGGTTAGTTCGATTTCAGAAATGGTAAACTCAATTTCAGAATCGGTGAGATGAATTCCAGAAAAAGTCCATTCAATTTCAGAAATGGTAAGTTGTATTTCAGAATTACTATTGGTAGGTTCAATTTCAGAAGATGAAATCCTATTATCTTCCAGCGATTCGGATGGAAGGCATCTGTGGATTAAATTGAGATTATAATTATGTTATTGAATTGTTTTTGACAAGTTGAATATTGTAAATATGGTTTGTTAATCTCACATACAATTGGAAACATTTCGAACAAATATAAGGATTTTGTTTCTGAAATTGAACCTACCAATTCTGAAATACAACTTACCATTTCTAAAATTGAATGGACTTTTTCTGAAATTCATCTCAACGATTCTGAAATTGAGTTTACCATTTCTGAAATCGAACTAACCAATTCTGAAATCGAGATTACTTTTTCCGAAATTGAAGTTGAAAAGGTATAGTTATAACATGGATAAGTAGGCAATCAACCATTGACTGATTATGATTGCAGCTTTTGATGAATATGAAGATGATATTGGTTTGGTCCATCCAGAATGGTTCATGGAGGTTCCAGAAGAACTTGACGTTTGTATAGCTCAGCGACATTTTGAAGATGCCTTAACATTATTACAAAGAGCGAAAGAATTCATCATTCAATATGTAGCAGCTAACGAGCAGTCAGATCATGTGATGATTGATATACAAAGAAAGGTAAATCTGAATATCCACACTTACATACATTTGGAATGTGATTTCGCATATACCATTATCTCAACTGGAAATGACAAATAATACAACAAAATATGTATCAATATTTGAAACTTCATCATCATTTCCACTCTTCTGGGAAATGACACTGGAATTCATCGTTAATAACGAATTCAGATGAAAAAGTTCTAAAATGTTTGTGTCCAAAATACTAAAATACCAAGTTGACTAAAGGAATATGGAAAATAAATTGAAAATGATAGTTGAAAAGTCCATAAGACATACGTGAATTTTATTTTTATCTTCTAGGTTTGAAATAAGATGGTTGTTATTCGTATGCATAAAAAATAACTGCAATGATTTGAAATTATTTCTTCAGTCGACCTCGTATTAACGAGTATGTTCAATGTCTATGAGTTTGATCGTTTATGACCCCTATTAATGATCAATTTGACTATTAATGCATGATTGTAGTACAGGCAACCAAACATACACTGCATCATTTCACTTTTGGCACTATAACTTACGGAATTTTCACTTTTAATACCACGAGAGATTCAGTTATTCTCTCTCCAGAAAATTTCTTGTTTCTAATTGAAGCTACAGTGGTATTCAGTTGGAAAGTTTCACAGCGAAATTTAAAGAACTACTAGGATAATATTACGCCAAATAAAATACAAAATACCGTCTTTAGTTACGCAAAATATTAATAAGGCAGCTGGTGGTAGTTCAAACTATTATTCTTGACTAACTTCATTCCACTAATGTTGGTGGAAATATATTTTGTTACAAGGATCTCCACAGTATTTAGTATTGATATAATTCATATCCATAACATTCTTAGGTTAAATAAAACAATTAACTCACTTTAGTTGAACGAAATAATAAAAAATGAGTCGATGGTTACTCAAATTCTCAGTTCTTCATTAAAGTTGGTAGAAATATATTTTCGCAGAAGAAACTCGAAGTACTATATTGTATCAATGAAATTTGCTCACGTAATGTTATTAGGTTGAATAAAATATGATAAAACGACTTTAATTAAATGTTGTTTCTCACAAATGCATTTAGCTAAAGTTGGAAGAAATATATTTTCTTAAATAAAATGAATTCGACGTAATCTGAAGTTGAATGTGAATGACATTTTACCTATAAACTTCAAAAAAATGTCCAGTGTAATTTCATGCTTCTTTCCCCATGGAGGGGGAAACATTTCCAGAAATTTGTTTATTTGCTATAGTAACGACACAATTGGTCGAAAATGTTAGGTGTGAATTTTGTTCATTCAAATCGAAAATACTTCCATTGTAGATTTTACGGCATTTTAAAGTTTCTGAACCGATTGTAATCCCTGTGTTCCAACAAATGGATTTTTTTCCATGTTGATTATTTCGACAAAAATGTCAAATGTCACTGATGTCAGTGACAAGATGACCATCAGGGCTACTGGGTGATTGTTAGTTGTTTCAGGATGAATGATGAATTCGCGAACCAAGTTTTCTTCATTGCAGGAGAAATATAGTCGAAGGAAAAATTTTGTTACCTCTTATATTAATAAGGCGATTAATGATCTCGCTTTGCTCGCCCGTTAAAATATTTCGATCATTAATCGCCCTCATTATCATGCTAGTTGGTTAAATGACTATTTCCTTAAGGTATGAAATTGAGTAGGTGATCAGAACAAGCTCATATCAAACCGAAAATCAGACATAAGAACGGAAAGTCATCTCATTTGATGATTATTTGGGAAAAGATTGATATTATATGTGCAATGCAAGAAGCCCTCACAGTATCTTTTTAAAATTGCTCGACTGATTCTAAAAATCGAGTAGTCCTAAAATCAGAAAAAGGAACAGAAAGTCAGCTCATTTGATGATTAATTTGGGAAAGTTTGATATTATATCTTCAAAAACCCTTGTGAAAACAGCTAGTCTTATTCTGAAAATCTCGAAATTTCAATTGATTAATGAGGGCTAACATATTCTTTAGTCTCTCACCAGTTGGTTACTAGAGTGTGAGGTCTATGTCAAAGTCGAAAGTCCTAAATTTTTGTCTGATAAAAGTTGTGAATGCCACATCATCCAAAATGAAGTTGTCAGCTTGAGATCCAAATATTTTGGTAAAACATAATTTAAGAGTGGTTATACCATCTTCATATTATCATTGGTTCGATCGCTAATAGGTGATGTCAATTCTGATTTTTATATCTGATAGCGACAGCAAACCGCTCCATTTTGGTTCATGTGGCGTTGACAATTCCAAATATCTGGTAAGATTGATTCAAGAGTGGCTAGATCCGGTATTTATTTCACTAAGCCTCACTAAGGTATTAAAATTCGACATAAGGTTCTATAATGAACTCTATACAACATTGATTACTTTTGTATTATTTATTCCTTAATAATACCATATAAAATGAATCACATTTATGTTGAAGCTGAGACACATGCAGTTGTTCGTTCCTATATGAAATGAAACGTCTTCGAAAAGGCAAGGAGTTCGAATCTTGGCGGTCTTATTTAATTAGGAGGGTGGAGCTTAGAGGCACTTGTCGCCATTGTCGTATAAAGTTCACTGTACGCTTATATATCCACCTTGGATCACGGCAATGGGGCATTATTACCACGACTTTCTGAAAAGATAATTAAGGTTCGGCCTTGGGAGATTCATTCTGACAATGTGACCAATAGAAGGAGTAAAAAATGCTATTCTCAATATCAACAAGTATTACCGAACATGTAGAGTTAGCCAGCGAAAACGAAACGGACTAAATAACTTGGGGGGAGAATGTGTATTTGAAAAAACGCTGAAATAGGTCGATGTCATGAGTAACACATTTTCATCATACCTCCAACTGCCACATTTTCTTCCCCCCTCCTCCACCTCGCTGACCAATAGAATTATAATATGGCATATAATCGAAAAGGTAATCAGAAGAAGAAATCAGTAATATGAATATGAGTGAGGTTTCTCTCAATTGTAATGCCCTCTTGATTCTTGTGGGAAAAATGTTATGCAGACCAATATTTGATACCAAAGATCATACACACTAGATAGTTAACGCCTGTGTAAAAATTGGCAACGCTCCGATGGAACCTCACAGACCGGCGGCTAATCGGCTGTGCTAGTCGTTGACCAAATATTATTATCCCAGTCGGTGGAATACGCGGCGTTATAATGAATAGATGCGCACAGCCGATTATCACCGCTCTATTCGTTCCCAACTTAGCGTTGCCCATTCTCACATTTACGGTGCTTACCTAGTGTGTGTATGATCTTTGATGACACTATATTATGAAAGCTAATTTTATTGGTAATCCAATGCTGTTCTGTTACTTTTTAATTGCCAATTGCTTATCTTTGCATAAATATTCGTTCTCAAATTTAAAATAGAAATTCGCGCGTATTATCAGAAACAAGGTATTTCTCGCTATCGCCAAACACACCTGTAGTGGAGGAAAGGAAATGACCAAGGGCCGAGGTGAAGGGGCCGAGAGGTCAGGTGACAAGAGAGAATATGAGAGACGCGTGAACCCGGCGATTTTAGAGAGATAATTAAAAAACTCGCTGTAATTTATTAGTGTTTGATTGAATAAAAATAACCGCACGATGAACTCTCAAACAAAAAATTAACTTACGTGTAAAGTGATGTGCTGATAATATCCTGAAAAGCAAGAAACAAGCTCGGCGGCCGCCTGAATCCTACAAGGAGGAAACCACGCGGTGTCCATTAATCATACCTATACAGGTGAGCGAATTTGCAAAAGATATTATTTCTGTCGACTTTGAAAATATCCTTATTCGTGTACCTATCGAGAGATAATATGGTCCATTCCAACTTCTCGCCCATAACAAATGCACTAAATAGAATTATATGATACCTCAAGAATGTACTGTGAATAAATACAGAGTTCCGTTTGTAAACGCTGTAGTCCGGCAATATTTTGAGATGATTCAAATGATAAAATCAGTTTTCAAAAGAAGTGCCATATATTGGACTAAATAATATTTTCTCTTCCCAGAAGAGGAAATTGAGAAGATACTTGATATTTGTTCATGAAATTAACTTTTCGACTATGTGCTATACATTGTACATGACACCTTCCTTGTTCAAAATCTATTGGTCAGCGAAGTGAAGAGAAGGTGAACATAGAACAATTCGGGGTCGAATGAAAAGGTGTCCCCCATGAATTAAAAACCGACCTATTTCAATGTTTTTCCAAATAAACATTATCCCGGATCAGTCTGTTTGCATTGGCCCACTTTAGCTAGTCCACATACTATAGTTACTTTCTTTTTGATGTTTTATGCACCGGAGCAGCCCAGTGTATGTTGCACTTGAGCTATTCCCAAATAGAATTCATTTTAATTAACTTTGACAATGAACGCCACTGCGCATGCGCTTTCATTGTTCACCTGAAGGTTGTAGATTTGACTCATTTTGTGTAGAAATTTGCTAAAAAATATAGAAATATAGCCAATCTATGATGATAATGTCTGATTCTGGAGACGAGCATGTTATAAATGTGAGTTGAACTATTTTGATTCACGAAAATAAAAAATAATCATTGAACATAACCTAAAATAGCTTGTCATTCGACAGTGACAGAAGGATAGGGGAAGATAGATGGTGTAGCACGGTGTAGCACAGGGGTTTCAATCACTAACCAAAAAGAACGCGTTCCTGTCTATTTTTCTTGTTCTGAAGAAATCTGAGAACCGTAATTAAAGATACCTTCGAAGAGGTCTTGCAGGCGCTGGTTATACTTGCTGGTCGAATATAACTAGTATGCCATTGACTCATGTTTCTACTGGTCCAGAACACCAAATCATTTCCTTCTGACATTGTCTGATGAATGCTTCAGGGTAATGGATACGAAATGAACTTGAGAAAACAATGGATAATATCACAAAACTTAGCAGACATAGAGACATATTCTGGAGAGGATTAGTTGAGTAATATTTTCTGACATAAAATCGGCTTAGAGATGTTGATGTCGATGATGTTGGTATCTTTGTTGATTATAGAATACTAAGAAACTATTGGGCCTTCGAAATGTTTCAACAAGTCTTTACAGGATGTAAATGTCACGAGTTATATTTAAAAAATGATGAATGGTACATTCAGATGACCGATTGCTAAAGTGTGCAAGTTCCCCTGTGCCAACAAATGAGGGAAACAATATCAATATATAAAGAAATATTTCAATATTATTTTTTTAATTTTTTGAGAAAATGGTATAATAACTATAGTTTTTTTGGAGTTTGCTTCGATATATTATGTACTTTTTATGTGAATAAAAATGGGCAAGTGAGAACTATTATCATATAACTCTTTTGAAAGTAAAGAAGGAGAAGCTGGATATCTATTAAAGTACTACTATTACATGACGGAAACTGTTTTCAAACTATTATCATATAACTCTTTCGAAAGTGAAAAAGGAGAAGCTGGATGTTTATTAAGGTACTACTTTTACATGACGGAAACTGTTTTCAGGTAGAACAACGCCAAAATCAACTCACAGAAGTTTTGATGAAAGAACTTGAGGTAAATCCTGACAAATCTCTTCAAGGTGGACTTAGAGCAGCTCGGAGGGCTGTTAGATTACTGAATCAATTAGGACGATCAAAACAGGTGAGTTATTCCTATAATATTTTTAGTGTATTTCGGTAAAGTATTGAATTTAGAGTAAGTGAATGATACAACTGACATCAACTGACATCAAATACCTCCAAAATGTGCCTTTGCTTGAATAGTGAATGATAGTATGTTTTATACTAGGTAATCTATGTAAGGTTACGAAAAACATGGTTTCAAAACAATTCAAGTAAATTTACGACATGTTTACAAACTCAAACCTGCGATGGAACACCACTGAACAATTTCTAGATTTTCTGGCATTGCGAATATTTTGAAATGTGTGAAGATCATTGGAAAAAATCGATGAAAAAAGAAATGGCAGGTTGCAAGGCTATGTAGCCAGCCTACCTGCAATTGAGCTCTTTCCTATCTTGAACGAGTGAGAGGGAAGTTCTCTCCTCTTCCATCTTTCTCTTCTATGCTTCAGCTTGGAAATATAGAGAGGTCCGATACATTTTTCCTTGTCTAACATCTAGTTTCAGCCACTGAACTCTTTTTGAATTCAGCAGAGTGTCAAATTTCACGATATTAACAAATGATGTCAAAATAAGTAGGTATGGTATAATTTGAAAATTCATTTCAAAATTTCGAAAGTTTATCAGTCAAACCATAAACATTACAGCTTCGGAAAAAAAACTATCGAGGAAATCAGCGATGAGAAATTAATTCAAAATATTTTTCAATTTTCAAAATTACATTACTCAGCGATTTTCTGAAATAATTCGAATTTCTCGTTATATTATAGTAACTTCGCCCCCTACCGGTCATTTCAGAAATTTGAAAATATTTTGAATCAATTTCTCATCGCCGATTTGTTGACAGATTTTTTCCCGAAGTTGTGAGGTTAATGGTTTCCATAATATCGTACATCGCCGACCTTAGTGGAACACCCTGTATACATGATTTTTTAATTTCAATATGATTATATGACATGCTCTATACCTTCTTTTAGGTGCTTGTTAGAGTTAATAAAGATTTTTCTTTCTTTATATTTTATATTAGTAGTCCCAAATTTATTCATAACCATCAAACATACTGGCAAATACTTAACATTCAACGTCTTTTGTATTGTTTCAGTCTTGTGACTTGTACCTTAAATTGTGCAGTAGTATGTTGGAAACACAATGCCGGAGAGTCAGAAAGGAAGGCTCAACAGCTACATACATTAGACATCTTTCAAGTGTTGTTTTCACCAATTTGTGCCATATGTCCGAAGAATTCCTGAGTGCATTCCCAGATTCACCAAGTTGTGCCTCAGGTGAGAAAACTATGCACTCAAAATGGTACTACGTGATCAATATTAATTGAACGTGCCATTCACCAACTATTCACCAACGATGGGAATAGAGAGTGTTTCATACAATTTTTTGATCGGTAACATCTTCCGACTCCTGACTCCGATATTGTACAAACTGAAAACTTGAAGGGGGTAGTAAAAACTATATCCAAGTGAGAAAACATTTTTTTATAAAAATGAATTGGGAGGTTGAGACACATAATTCAGTTGAATTAAAGAACAATATCGAAAGATTCTTTACCAGGTACTAGTGCAATCCGTTCGTTTTAATGTTGTTGTTTGAATAAAATTCTGAAAATTTTGGAACATCAAAAATAAACCCTCATAACTCAAAAACTTTCGGAGTTAGATATAGGGAATCCTATATCAGTTGAAGCAGACTTATTTGTGCGTTCATTCATTTGATAATATACAGGGCTGAAAAATGACGTTTGGGAATTCAGAAACCTGTAAACTACAAAGTAGTTTTGACCACGCTCAAGTTTTGGTACATTTCATGATCACACTTCAAAGATCATCATGTGTACTAGCTCTGGTGGAATAACTTGAAAACCTGAAAATTACTATATAGTCATATCATATGATTTTTTTGAAGTAATACGTAGATTTCAAAACTGTAATGAAGAAGAGGATCAACTAGGAAAAGAGCCAAATACTCAAAGTGGAATGCAATGGTCACAAAGAAGAGAAACTCAAAGTCATTCCACAATAGTTCATAAAATGAACGAAAATGGTAGATAACGAGAGAAAAACTTTCCTGGCTATATGAAACGCAGAACATTGGATCACATCCTTCCGAAATATATGCAATAAATCGTATAGACGAATAAAATCGCAAGTGTTTCCTCTTCACGCCGAGCTGCGCCTAAGTGTTTCAGGAACGCGCAGCTGCAGACCGGTTTCGAGCTTTTGGCTCTCATCAGTGCAGGGCTGTCCCAGATAGCATTCTTGACCGCTATCTGGTGCGAAAATGCGCCAGTCGGGCAACCAGCCACTCCCATTACACCTGAAATTGGATCTTGTTTTGGAGTGTTTCTTTTCTTTCCATGTGGCGTTCGCCGTTCACGTTCATTTCGCGGACGTTGAAAGCTTCATGGGGTATATATAAATGCTGAGATGCTTTTACGTTGGGTCGCACCATATAGCGGTCAAGAATGCTCTCTGGGACAGCTCTGCACTGATGAGAGCTAACAGCTCGAAACCGGTCTGCAGGTAGTCACGCGTTCCTGAACCACTTAGCGCTGTTCTATTTAGAATAAGAATCTTTGTGCCCACTTCCGGAAGTCCACTCAACCGGGGTGCCCAACGTAGGGACTTAAATCGATCGTGGACTAATTAAGTTAGTTAATTAGTATTGGGGACAGTCGAGTTCGATCAAAATCGTCAAGTCGCCGATTTACTGATAAAAACGCTGATTGACGGACTGTCGAAAATGATAATGATGAACGACTATGAATAGTAGGCGAATCCACAGTAGTAGGCCGAAAGTTTCGTCCACCCCTTTTCTTCCGCGTGGTCTCGTTTCGGAAGTATCCGTTGGGAACCCTTTCATCCGAGCTTTCATCCAATTGTTGTCTGATGAAGAGATTCGTCAGGGTTCGGAATGTCAAGTTCCGATAGAGGCCCGTTTTCGACATCCGGGGTCAAGAATCAAAGCCAATGGCACCCTAATGTGGTAAATCTACAGTCAAATCAGTCAAAAATCGTTTAGTTGATAAGTACTACGCTTCTGGCGATATTTCACATCGTTTATGTTGACTTCATGATGTTCCAAATTCAGAATATTATTCGAACGGAAAATACTATCTGAGGTTGCTGAACTACCTGAATATAACTATTTTAGATTCCGTTTCTCTATTCTGTATACAGGGTGATTGAGGTTTTAAGGTACAAACTGAAATGGGTGATAGATCTCATAATTTTCATTGAAAAAGTTCATATAAACTTGAGTCCGTCCTCGATCAGTAGCGGAGCTAAAGAGGGTAAAATTCTATTTTTTTTCTATTAATTGCAATATCTCGCTCACTTTTGAAGATATCAATTTGAAATTTGGTGTAGTTGATACTTTATAGAAAATCATAATTTTAGGCGTTTCAAAGGTTTTTGAAATCTACAGGGTGATCCGTTTTTAGGGAGCTTCTTTATCCCCTCAAACTTTTTTGAAGCACGCCTCTGACACCTACCAGTTCCCAGATGGACCGTTCAATTTGGAGGTTTCTTTGCCTCACATTATTTTTCCGAGACATAAACCGTTTTCGAGATAAATAAGCATATTCGTTCTAAAGCACGCAAATTTCATCTTTTTTCCATTGAATTTTATTCTTGGACAAAATTCGTTAACAATATTGACAATGAAGAATAGTACAAAATATTTGTACTTTGGACTGATAAGGCCACATTTACCAAATGTATGGTGGTAATTTACCATAATTCACATGTGGTTTCATTATTTATTACCTAATGTCCTCTGTGGACTGTACATTTTTCCAGACAGGTTGAATGTTATATTATTTTTCAATTTCTTTAATGATATTGAAAAAGATATATATTCAAGTGGATGGGGCTGAACCAGTGGTTTAACACGAATGTTCTGCGTAAAGCATCCAACTTTCTTCGTTCATTGGCCAAATTTTTGTTTTTTTATCGCTTGGAGCGCACGAAAGGGAATCCCTATAATGTTCAAAGAACATCGTGCGTTCCTAGGGAGGATAGGGACAGGAGGTAGGTATTGGATTTTTTTTTGAACTTTTGGAGATTATATGTTGTTGGGAATACTTCCACAGGCAATGAATTCCAGAGCCTAGCCGTTCTATGGATGAAGGAGTCTTGATAAAGTGCTGTTCGACATCTTTCGAGGTTGACAACGAAAGGATGTGCTGACTGGGCTTGTCTAGTTCGTCTGATTGGTATTGCTAGTGAAGCGATGATAGCAGAGATTTCCGAAGAACATTTCCTAATACAAGTCTTCACAAAGAAATTTTTACGATCAATTATTTATTGATTATTGAGGCACGAGGCAGACTGAGATTGTAGACAATAAGACACCATATAGATAGTTACTAAGACATATCGCTCACTGGGTACAATAGGGGCACATCTCGAAAAAGGGCCATTTCGAGATAATTGTACCCAAAATACTCGCTTTTTGTATTTTACCTACTTACAATACTGGCACATCGTTATCTCACACGGTGCCGCTAGATAGAACTAGAGTCCCTGTATGTATAATTCCCTGTCAAATACATACAGGGACTCTAGATAGAACTAGTGTCACTATTGAATTTCGCGCGTTTTTTAACAGTTACGCAGACAACACCGGCACAAATAGTTTAGTTCGTTAGTGACCGTCGCACAGTGAGTTACATAGTACGGTAAGGTATTTTAAATATTTTAATTTTTGTAAAACAATAGTGGCACATCATTAGATCAACGTAATTTGTGCCAGTATTGCATATTTATTTGTTGTTATTGTCTGTTTAAAGTTCTGAATTAAAGTCGTTCATTTGCGTGACATCTCATAATGTGACACTGTTGTTTTGTAAATATTGTTTGGTGTTTTTGAATTATGCCTATTATTGATACAGTTTATTTTAAGGATAATTTTAAAGTATTGCCGGAAGTAAGCAAACCTTATTTCTTTGCTTTATATTTTTAATCTCTTAAAGATTATTCCTTTCACGATTGTATCTTTGTATGTATCTTGAATTTTTTTTCAACTGAAAAATAATATTTTTTGTTTCAGTTCACCAAATTGAAGTTAATTGCAATATGAATCCTGAAAATTCCAATACAAGAGATAAAAAATGTTTAGGAATGTTAGGAATAAAAAAAGACACCGCAAGCGGAAAAATCGTATCTGATGCGTCTGTGATACACGATGTTATAGAAAGAATTATCAGCAATGTAGAAGCAAACATCCAAAAAGGGCAGTTGAAAGAAGTTGATCGTGATTTTTGTGTAGAAATGGAAGTCGATAGAGCAGAAGAAGAAATAGATAGAGAAAATGAGGAAGAAACTAATTCGGAGTCGGAGCCTTTCTCAGACGACTCTATTATCGATCCTAATTACGAATCTGAATCAACCACAACAACAGACAATGAACAAGAAGCACCATTACAAGATGAAGAGGAAGTAATTGTAACAAAAAAAAACACGAAAAGAAAGAAGGACCCTCAGGAGTGGAAAAGAAATAAAACAAAATTACTAAGAAATAGCGGACAGGCCTACGTCACACTTAAGAGACGTCATGTCGTAGAACCTAGGCAATTGAAACCTCCTTGTGGTGATAATTGTGAACTTAAGTTTTCAGATAAATTCTCTGACGAGGAAAGAACAGCGATATTTCGTAAATATTTGGACCTCGCCGATATTGTCAAACAGCGAACATTAATTGTGACACTGATGCACGAAATACTTCGAGATGACAATAATTCCATTACACGTGATGGTAGAAACAAACGAACCAACAATAACATTTTTTATCTTTTCAAAGATAATCAAAAATTAAGGGTTTGTAAGGTGTTTTTTATTTCAACTTTGGGAATTACCACTCGCTGTATTCGAAGCGTGATATCTAAGAGAAAAGAAGGACATTTTGAAGATAAAAGGGGTAGGCATGGAAATCAAAAGCAAATACCGGACTTAAAGGATGATATCCGTAATCACATTTCGTCAATTCCTAAGATTGATAGCCACTATACCAGAGCTCATAGTGAAAAACAGTATATTGAAGGCGGTAAGACCTTAACCGATCTATACCGAGACTACAAAAATCTATGTGAGCAGGCCGGCAAATCCGTCGCAAGTTTTACAACATACAGGGATATTTTCTATTATGAATTCAACTTGGCTTTTTTTGTCCCCAAAAAAGACCAATGCCAAAAGTGTGTTTCGTATGAAAATGCGGATGTTGACGAGAAACAGAGAATGGAAGAAGACTATTTATTACACCAAAGAGAAAAGACGCTAAGCAGAAAGGAAAAAGAAGCAGATAAAAAAAAATGTAGTGAAAATTACAGGGTTAGTTGTTTTGATTTGCAGGCTACATTGCCAACACCAAAGGGCGACGTTTCATCATTTTATTACAAATCGAAACTCTCGACTTACAATTTTACTGTGTGTGGTCTTACTCAGAAAGGACAAGGCCCTGTTACGTGTTTTATGTGGCACGAAGGACAAGGCAAAAGAGGAGCCAATGAAATTGGCTCCTGCTTGATAAAATATTTACAACAACAGAGTGAAACTTATGATGGTAAAGACTTAGATATCGTATTTTATTCTGATAATTGCTCAGGCCAGCAAAAAATAAAATTTGTTTTAGCAGCTTACTTTTATTCTGTAGCTAAGTATAACATTAAGTCAATAACGCATAAATATTTGGTGACCGGCCACACACAAAACGAAGGTGATAACGTTCACTCAGTGATAGAAAAAAACATTAAGAGGGCACTAAAGTCTGGTCCAATTTATACACCAGACCATTACATGATGTTGGTCAAAGGTGCAAAGAAGACGGGTACTCCTTACAAAGTTGAAGAGATGAGCTTTGATGATTTTTTTGACTTAAAAAAATTAACTACGCAAACTTCTTTTAATTATTATAGGGACAGTTCTGGCGATATTGTTAAAATGAATGATGCCTGTGTTTTTAGAGTAGAGAAAAATGCTCCAGATATTTTCTTTTACAAAACTTCGTTTAGTCAAACTGACTACAAAAGTGTAAGCATTAGACAAAGAAATACGCGAAAAGATGCAGCCTTCGACTCCTTCGAAACTGCTAATCTGGAATGTGCGTACCAAGATGTTATACCAATTCAAAAAAAAAAATTTGACGACCTGATGGATTTGCTAAGAAGTAATGCCATTAAAAAATGTCACAGTCACTTTTATAATAGCCTGAAATATGCCAAAAACTGAGGATGAGTTTTTATTTAGTTTTAGAGTAGTACCCGAAGGCGAGTACCGAAATAGTAGAGAGTGACTAATACTTAAATTCAAAGTCGATGCCATGCGATACTGAACTAAAATTACCATTACATAAAAACAACTATGGTGCGACCTTCTAATCATCAAAGGCAACAGTGAATTCGCACAATACTTGCTTACCTTTATGTCATGATATTTTCAGTTGAGTATCGCATGGTATCGACTTTGAATTGAAGTATTAGTCCTTCTCTCCTATTTTGAAACCAGCCCGTAGTTTTTGTTCATTTGTAAATTGAGGCTTTTTTAGGATATTTTTCTTGATCTTTCTTGATCAGGATAGGACCCATGTTTATATACACTTTTTTTATTAAAATTATGAGAGATCTATCACCCATTTCAGTTTGTACCTTAAAACCTGAATAACCCTGTATACAATACAAGGTGTCCCAGAACAACATGAAATAATATATACCCGAGGAACTAGAGCTCAAAATAGTCCAGTCGTGAGAGAGCAATGAAGTTTGATTTGAATACGTTTCTGAGATTTCATACACAAAAAACACGAGTGAATGTGTAGTGTGCAGGAAACGCATGTCATATCCTTCCAGTCGAAATACAGGAACATAGTTATTTCGAATTCTGAGTAAAAAGTCTCCATTGACCATATTTTGCTTGTTTCTGAATACCTTCATTTATTATGCAAGCTCTCGTATCTACCAGATATCAGACAATAGAATATATTGTCACGATAAAAGGGTATTTTCCCCACCATGTAATGACATAGAGGTAGGACTTTCACTATGCCACGACATAGTTCTAGTAAACTAGAAACTAATAAGACATTGCTAAAAAAAGTTTGTATAGGTACAAACTTGTAGTTGAATATCATTTTATTTATATATACCTGCCTTAAATAAATATTTCACCTTGGTATCCAATGAATATTGCATAAACTCATTGATGCCTCAGAATTTGAGGCTCAAATTCACAACAGTGGGGATTGGGGAAACCATGTCTTGATAATTTTACACCTCCACCTCCTGGAGTGCAAAGTTTTCAGACGACGTTGCAAAATAACACAATCGCACTCACAAACCAATCAACAAACTATAACAGAACAAACAATACTAGAAGAAATAATTAGGTACAATTGTAATTTCCAAGGATTCGAATTCAAACTTCAACACTTCTCAAAGATGAAGTTATAAGTTAATGACAACTGTCAAAATAGTTATTTGTTTAACTAGGCAGCAAAGTAGTAGATTGACTGCCGAGGCTGAATTCATAGTCGAGCGTAGCGAAGCTAGGAATCCAGCTAAGGCAGTCAATCTACTGTGCTGCCGAGTTGAACATATAATTTTTTCTCCGATTGTTCATAATGATATAGGAGGATATTGAAATTGCAAATTATTACAATTCCCACAATCTCTTTATTTTTCCTGTAGTGTTCAATTAAAATGAAATTGGATAGCAATCGCAGTTGTCCATGATAATTATAGTTTGACAATTCATGAAAATTCTGACAGTTGTGCGAAAAAATATCGGTATATTTAAATTATTATATAATGGACAGTGATAGCGACCTGGAAGTACTTACACCTCCAGAAATAAGGGAGGTGGCAAAAAATATAGAGTTGAATTTGTTGCCGGAGAAGTCTCGAAAGAAATATGAAGGAAATTATAAACGATTTATGGATTATTAATTTTGCTGATACATATCAATCAGCAAAAGCAAAATTAATATTTGCTACCAATCGGAGAAAAAATAATTTTACGATTACGACATCTCAATCTCATGAAATAATCTTCTTTTTCATCGCCTTCGTATCAAATATCACGTCAATGATGGAAAGTACGTCTGTGGTTGAGTACATATTGGAGAAAAATAGAAGAAGAGAATGTCAACCTAATATTGTCTATTTTGACATAAACAAATGAGCTCTTTCCACAGTCCCTTTCCCAGCACCACTTGACAGACAGACATATTATGATTGACTAAACAGACAATATTGTACCTCCTCGCGTACTTGGTCGCCTACTAGGTTTTCATTAAGATCGACAATGGTTGAACATGATGCATTCGTGTATTGTATGCAAAAGAGAGGATCATCTGAATACAAATTTGACTTTTCACCAGTACATATAGTTTGTTGATTTAATAGACAGGCGTATAGGCACCAAACATCATCAAACATGCATAATTGCCAAACATTCGCCACTGTGCAGTTGTGTTTTTCGCTCTCGTTGCATACATCCAAGCAATACTAGATCGTCTTTCATAGCATTTTATTAATGAAACATTTTGTCTTATGTTTAAATGTCTTTTAAGTACTATAAAAATGACAGGGATGTGTACATTAATCCATATAGACACTCGGTACACACAGTTCATAATATTTTTAATCGAATGTGTTACTGTTTGTTACAAATTGTTTTTGAAAACCACACTTTATTATTTTGTGGGATATTAATTTTATGGTTGATTGATATGTCAGTATGAAAAAAAAAAAGGAATTTACTGTCATTGAAATATTTATATATTGAATACAAGATCTAAATAAACTCTTAGTCTGAATACCGTCCACCCTATTCCAAGTCTTTTTGAAAGTATTCGAGTACCGGGTAGGTGTCTCGAATTCTAACATAATTAACCTATTTTCAGCATATGTGGTATGGGCAAGTGCCGAACTATCTCTCTTCAGTACCCACTTCATACAACAAGTTTTTCTGCCAGCCATCACTCTTTCAATTATCACCGAATGTGTTGTATTGGCCAGGATACAGTGTGAAAGGGTAAATACCTACGTCTTAGAAAATATTCTAATTTTAGGCCGTGTCGACCAATTTGAGTTTTTTTACAAACTGTCTAAAATGGTCTTTCATTCACCAATATCGATATTCAACATTGTACAGGGTGGGCCAAATTGGTCACTTTTAAAGGGAAAGTCCCGTACATGTCGGTGCCTGTTGATCATTTCACATAACAAACTCAAAGGTGAAAACCGCATATCGATATCTATATTTATTTCAGAGTTACAAGGTGTTTTTTAAAAATGTGAATTTTTGAAAAGTGGCTAAATTTTTTTTTTCTCAAAAATTTGTCATTTCCATGGAAACATTTTCAAAGCACTATGTATGTCGTGAAAATTGATCCTCAGGCACTGAAATCAGTCACCGTATACCTAGCTGCAAAATAGAACTTTTCTTTCAAGAAGAACAAGTTATATTCTTGAACTAGATATAGGAAGACCGATTTCAGTGCCTCGAGAATAATTTTTATCACAAACTCAATGCTTTGAAGTTATTTTCATAAGAACAGACCATTTTTGCCAAATAAAATATATGTAGCCCCTTTTCAAAAATGCCCATTTTCGAAAAAGACCTTGTAACTCCGAAATTGAGGATTACACCATTAAGTTTTTCATGAGAATCGACCCTCAGGCAGCGACATCAGTTTTTCTCCATCTAGTTCAAGATTTGGACTTTCCCTTTTAAAGTGTCCAATTTGGTCCACCCTGTACATTGTAGAAGGTCATCGTACTTATATGTTTCGTTACCACAAAATTGAGGTTTGTGCTCTCGTTCAGAATGATTTACACTTTTTTCTTCATTTTCATTACTTACGGTACTGTGTGCTACTCGTTCGCGAAATGCCAAAGTACAGGGATTCTATGAATGTTGATATCGTAGTGGCCGTTGAAATAGCTTTTCCATTTGCCGTTCCCATCTATGTACAGGGTGAGCAAAACTCGATGTCTCAGCTCTATTATAAGAGGAGGAGAGATGATAGGGAAAATCTGAAAAAAGTTTTCTCAATTGGATTGTGTAAAGTCCGTTTTGGGCCTGATTCGCATATTTTTCTGAATTCGTAAGCTGAAGTAATGACGTCATCAATCATTTTTTCCCAGAAACATACCTATATTTTTGCATATTCGGAAAGAGCTGATTTCACTGAACAATTTTCGTAAATAAAAAAATTGGCTATCTCCTTCTCTTGAAAAATTATAAGCAAATTTGTTCAAAAAAAGTATCATCAAAAAATTGCATTCGTCACGATTCAAACAAGTAGCCTTCGAAAACAAATGGCAAAGTAGCATCTGTCAACAATTAAACTTATGGTTGTCACATTTTGGTGTCATTTGACACATTTTCAACCGTCACATTTTGGTGAGTATGGACTAAAACAGAACCAGACAAGCAAATGCTATTCTTCAAGAGAAAAAATTGCACTTGGTTTGATTCAATACCTGTTACCATTCTCGAGAAATTAATTCGAAAACTTCCGTGCATGCCCACCTTTCCGACACCAACATTTTGAAAACTAAAAAGTGTGGACGAAATGGGAAACACATAATATATTACCAAAGAAAGAAACAAAGTATGCTGGTAATCACTACAACAAATTCTCAATGTAACCACCTCCTACTTCTAGACACTTCTCCAATCTCCTCCTCACTTCTCTTACTGAAGCCTTGCGTAACATTTCTCTAGAGAGTTCATCGCAAGCATTCCTAACTTTTTCTCTCAGATGATCCAAGTTAACAGAAGGTGTTCTGTCCGGTGATTTTGGCGCCCACTGTATCGGACCATTTATACCTATCCAATGTTCTCCATACGTTTCATTCAAATATTGTTGGACAATTATTGCTTTATGCGGCGGAGCTCCGTCATGCTGGAAACACATGTTTGCTAGAAGCTGTAATGGCACATTTTCGAGGAGCACAAGAAGATGTTCTTGAAGAAATTGGAAATATTGCTCACTATTTAAAACTCCTTCATAAAAATATGGACCAATCAAATGCCCGTTGATAATACCACACCAAACGTTGATTCCGAAATGTCCCTGGTTTTCAATAGGATTGACAAAATGTGGATTTTCAGTAGCCCAATAATGTTCATTTCTTCTATTGGGCCTACCGTTGCTAACAAAACGGCTTTCGTCCGTCCACAACACATGCTGGAGAAACCGATTGTCATTGAACTCTAAGTTTTCCACCACTTGGGCAATATAATCAACTCTCCGTTGTTGATGTTGATTTGACAAGTGTTCTAAGTTATGAAGTTTATAATCGTGATATCCATTTTCTTTCAAAATATTTCGTACCGAACTATATTTCAAATTCAACTCACGACAGGCTTGACGAATCGAGTTCCTTGGATGGTGTTCAAAATACTCCAAAACAGTGGCAACAGTATTGTCAGTCTTGACCCTTTTGACAATTTTCTTCCCCTTTCGAGATGACAATGCCTCGTTGTTTGCACGTAAATTACGTTCCAATCTTGCGAATATTTTTGAGTCTGGAATAATACGTTCGGGGTATCTCTGGGCGTATAACTGCACTGCACGTCTAGAATTCTTTTGACTTTCCCCATAAACAAATAACATGTCGACTTTTTCATTGTGCGTAAACATTTTTCAGCCAGATGACACCACAATAATATTTGACAACCATTAGTTTGATTGTTGACAGTTGCTACTTTGCCATTTGTTTTCAAAGGCTACTTGTTTGAATCGTGACGAATGCAATTTTTTGATGATACTTTTTTTGAACAAATTTGCTTATAATTTTTTGAGAGAAGGAGATAGCAAATTTTTTTATTCACGAAAATTGTTCAGTGAAATCAGCTCTTTCCGAATATGCAAAAATATAGGTATGTTTCTGGGAAAAAAATGATCGATGACGTCATTACTTCAGCTTACGAATTCAGAAAAATATGCGAACTAGGCCCAAAACGGACTTTACACAATCCAATTGAGAAAACTTTTTTCAGATTTCCCCTATCATCTCTCCTTCTCTTATAATAGAGCTGAGACATCGAGTTTTGCTCACCCTGTACAGTGTGTCCAGTTTTCGATGCTTTTGCATGATATCTCAGTTATCTTTGGAGATAGAACCTTGCGGTTTTCGCGATCCCGTGGCATTTTTTTGTGAAACTCAAGATGGCCTAATCAGATTTTGCAGGACTGTTTCCGTTTATGAGATACAGGGCGATTTTGAAAATTTATACTGTTTGGATCCCCTCTATATCTACGAAGTTTATCAGCGAAAATGTCAAATTAAAATATTAACCCATAGAGAATTTTATGCAGAATCCAGTGGCGCACAAACTTTTTTTTTGTATTGTTTTGAAGATACGACTCAAACTTATGATTTTTTAAATTGAATACCCTGTATTTTATAAGCTCATTAAATTCCTTATTTTTTTCCCTTCGAAATGATATATGATGTATGAATATAACATCTTCAAAAATGTTCAAAAATCACTAAAACATTGAATTTTAATAGTGGGCTATGAGTTTTTCGCGGGATTTTCATATAGAGAAATTTACAATTTTAGGAATATTTCCTTTGATTGTTCCATTAAGGGAGAAATAAAAATTTCAACACTAATTAACTTGCAAAACACAAGACTTAGATACCTGATATCCACAAATATACAGGGTGTTTCATAATTGAATGCTGATCCTTGAGGACGATTATCCTTGGATGATTTCAAAGAGAAAAGTTCATATCAACATGTGTCCTAAACCTCTTAGTTATTGAGCTACAGGGTGATGAAATTTCAAGAAAAAATGAGTATTTCATCATAAATTTTTATCACTTCTAGATATTGTTATGATATTTTGTATACACCTTTTCATTATTAAGGAGCATTTTTTTACGTGAAAAATATTTGAAAATTCTCACCAGTGGCGTCCGTACGGGGTTTGAGCTGACAATTTTTGAAGAAAAAAATAGTACGCCACTGATTTCTCTGAGAACCATATTTTTTTTTCAATTCTTATTCATTTTGGAGCAAATTTGGTTCCTAGACTTTCATACAACGTACCGTTTTCGCGTAAAAAAATAAAAACCAAAGAATTTTGTTCCTTCAGTTCTTGGATATTGTTTTTGGTAATTCAGTAGACACCCACTATAAGTGGAAACACATTTTGTTTTGGGACGAAAATCAAACTTTTACTTTCACCAGTGATGTCCTCGTAGACCTGATATTGAAGGTTTAGTTTAAATAAACGCTGTACGCTTCTGATTTCAACACCCTGTAGCTCAAAAACTAAGAGGTTCAGGACATATGTTGATATGAACTTCTCTCCTTAAAATCATCCAAGGATCATCGCCCTTTAGGATCAGCATTCAATTATGAAACACCCTGTATAGTAATAAAAAGTTCATAATGTAGAATAAGCACCTGATTGAATATTTACTAAAACAATTGAATTTCGAAATTATTCAGTGATTTATTCATTGAATTGTTCAAATTGATGTCCATTTTCCATCACAAACTTTCTCAATACATATTAATCATTGAAAGATGTCTTTGTAATTCCTGGAAAACTGCCTCTGTTCTGGGCCACTCACTGTATTAAGAAGTATCAAGAAAGTTTGTCAACTGTATGTTAGGGAAAATGGATGTCAATTTGAACATGTCAATGAATAAGTTACTTTTAGTAAATATTTAATCAGGTGCTTATTCTACATTATGAACTTTTTATTACTATTTATTTTTTGCTATCAGGTACCCAAGTTTAGTGTTTTGTTAATTAATAAGTGTTGATATTGGTTTTGACCTCTCCATGGAAAAATTTAAAGAAATATTTATTCACTTGGAGATACGACTCTCTATGCGATAAGATTTTGATTTGACATTTTTGTTGAGAAACTTCACTTCAAAAGCATCGAAAACTGGACACACTGTACTTTGACTGTTATGATTGTCAGTTTGGAAATATGGATGTGGATTCATGGTTAGAATTATCCCCAGGCTGTGTTGTGTTGTCTCTTGACGCGTAGCGTAATCTAAAATCTATTATTTTTCCCGTATATAATACACTATATTATTCTGTGACACGAGAAAGGGCGAACCAATATTGAGAAGATATTACATTATATTAAAATCAGAAAAATTTGATTTTATTCGAAAATCTTATGAGGTTATGTTCGAAAGGTATCTTCTCAAAATGAAAGTCCGGTCCAGAAATATTCTATCGCATAGTATATTTTCTTAACTCTCGTGCTGATGAGGATATGTTTTTTCCGAACCTGTAGAAGTGTGCATCTTATATTGTCGCTTCTTTTTGTCGTAGCTTCTATCAATCTCGAGTTTCATCTCCTTTAATGAAGTCTACTTTTAATAAAGTTTGCATGTGATATTTCTACGAAATTTTTGATTGTGAATTCGTGAAAACGGAAGACATTATTAAAACTTACTGTAACTGATTTGATATTTTCTGTTTTTAGTGAAGGCTATCTCAATTTTCTTCTCTTGATTCTTGATGTTGATGTTATCGTTTTTGGTTTCGATTAAAAAGGTAATCGTTTTCAACTAGTGCCCTAATATAAAAACAATATAATTCAATGTGTCAACTCCCAAATATAATACAAAATTACAACGTTGCCAGTAGTTTCGACATAATCGTAAAAAATCTATCCAACACGTTGTAACTTGAATACCGTTGCCGTTACGAGAATTTTTTACTGAGCAAACCCAACTTATTTTGCAGTGTTCTACCTATCCTATCGCCATCTTTTTTCAAACACTCTGTAGAGAAGAGGGGATAAAATCCAAAGGATCTTAAAGTCAAAGAATTAAAATCTTAAATTCAGTGCGCTAAACAGATATTTTGCAGCCTAGGTATAGAAATAACTATTAAATTCTCAAGGCACTCTGTATAATCTACTGACATTGAGATTTTTTTAAGAAATAAGAAAATCATTGTTAAAATATCCAACAGAAAAGAACTACTAATCAGTTAATTAATCAACCCCAGAATTTTCCACAACCAGGTATTTTAATGTAAACAATTCACTGTGTAGGTATATTATAATATCGCCACATCAGACATTGAGAAAACTCGAAAAAAGTGTGGTTTCGAAAAATGGCCTGAAGTTGCATCATTTTGAATGAAAACCAAAATTGAATATTGAGAAAAAAACTTACAACTAAACCCTATTTTCTCATTTAAAAAATAATGCAATTTTAGGCCATGATTCGGAATTACACTTTTCTCAACGCCACTTGGTCATACAGACATGACTGAGGTTTTCCGTTCCATAGATACAAAAAACATGCCTTGTATGTACAATGTTTAATGTAGAAGTTAATTTCTTTAACTTCCGACTCCAACAACTACGATATACACATTTTATAAAAGTCGAAAAATCTAACTTTTCTTAATAACTCGAAAATAATGTAATGCTATTTCCCTTAGAGGGGCTTTAGAAACACCATCAGTAAGACAGGAGTACAACGCTCATCCTGTAACACGCATCCCAGATCGTTCTCCAACCTCTCAATGATTCCTACATGCACCAGCATATTTCCGAACACTCAATATATGCCGCAGTGACAAATAACGTCACAGAAGATTCTGGAATGTTCTGGAAACAATCGATGGAACAATTAGAGAGAGAGGTTTGTTCTAAGAAGCTTCTAGACCAAAAAGAAGGAGACGGAAGATCATTCGAGAACGTTCTCGATCCAAAGCCTGCCAAGTGATCTCATATATAAACGGCCGAATAACTGCCGTCAGGCAGTCGAGCAGCGAGTGTCAGAGAGACAGTTATATACCGCGTGATATAAATCGTTTTACATAAATAGTAGTTATAAGTTCGATATAAATTAGTGTTTCTTTAGTTTAAATAAATCAGTTCGAAAATAAATAGTGTCGTGTTCGCTTCTGCACCCGAATAACGTAACAATAATAAAAAAATAATATCAATTTTTTTCGCTAGTGGCTTTGTCTCCCATAAAGAGATGAAGAATGTCACATTAATTTCTTTGTATCTCATATAGTTACCGAATCCCTATGCTAACATGTTGCCTTTCGACCTAAGAGAATTCTAATTCAATATCTATATCTATATTCATTCAATCAAGTTATTTGTGTGCGTTGTAGAATGAAATTGAAATGCTCAAATTGGTCAACATGTGGAAGAATGCTAGGATTTCAAGATATTTTGAGAGGTCTCTACACGTTAATTTTCAATAGTTCATTTCTTGAAAGTTGAAGTGTATTCAATTATTTTTATTCATAAATATACTACAATGATATTTATAAAAGCTTGAATACATATTTTGTAGTTACTATCCTTTTCAGTTCTACTATGACTATTCAACTGCAATATCTACAACTTCACTCTAAATTTCTAGCTATACAATTACGGAGTCGACTTATGTTACCAACTAGACGGGGCTTTGAGGTCATCTTTAACAAAATCTTTCAGAGAAACCAGAGACAAATTGATAGATTCTATAGGATTGCAAGCTGATGAAGACACATGGATTCCTGTTAATTTACATACAAAGATAGCTCTAGGCAGGTGTCTACAAGAATATGCTCAAATGAATCTTGATTTGGACAGTTACGTAACAGGTGAGGAATTACTCTATTTAAAATATTTCAAGTCATTATGCACCTATTGGATCTACAAAATTAAAAATTCGCCAAGTTGAACGTCCAAAGATAGATGAAAATTTGATATTTTTCTTTATACCTATATTCACTACAACAAATCTTTTCCAAAACAAAGTGTTGGCAATAGAATTAATTTTCTTGTATGCTTTGTGATAGAAACATGTTTAAACGTAGTGACATTTTGGGGTAAATCATTTGATTTGTTCTCACTACACTCATATTGAAATACTACCCATATTTTTTATAGGTGATACATGGTTACAACTTACGGCTAGTACTTTGTCCTTCACTAAAACATTCCTCACTCTCTTGAACGATTGTTTGAGTTTGAAAACGGCTGACTTAATGTATACTATTGATGAAACAATGTATAGTGTTTTTGAAGCTCAAGTAAGATACAATGAGAATTCACTTAGGAATGAGATGAACCAAGATGTAAGTACTTATCCATATAACTTAATATGTGCGATTTGAAATACATTTCATTAGAGTGCCTGGAACATCTCATTTCACGCCTTTTCTCAGATTCAGAACATCAGTTCTGAAAATTGATTACGCGTCCATGCGAAAATGTGTGCCTTGTTCGGTAGGTAATGGTACTGAATTGCGGGGATCTTAAGTATGATGGCTACCATTCATATTTGAGTTGTCCAAAGACGAGAAGACATTTCAAGTGTTAATGATATTGTATCACTGTAGCTATGAAAATCTTGGTAGATATGGTTTTGATAAATGCAGATGATCATTACCATAGCAGCGAAGATAGTCTAGATTTAAGTTGCCAAAACTGGACAGTGATGCGAGATTTATTTGACATTTCAATAAGTGATTTGTTGTGTTCAGCAGATTTTTGAGAATTATTCATTACTAATGATTTGTTCTTGTATAAACTTGTTTGTGGTTTATAAGTGGATCGTTGGTGGATTTTGAATTTGATTCATTCGAAAATGAACGTAAAAACGATTGCCCATTACTTCCACTGCCTGCTGTGAGAGATGTAAGTTTAATGATGATACTAATGATATTTTGTGTTGTCAGAATAATCCAAATACTCCATTACAGAGAGTGGATGCTGCATTAAAAATCAGTATCACTACTGTATGGACAATATATGCGATACAGGAACGTAGTGATGATTTGGCTGGCCCCAAAAAGAACAGTGAAAGAGAAAAACCCATTTCAGACCTTAATGATGGTCAACAAGTTGCAATTAGGAATTGTATCTATGATATGTATAAGAACAGTAAGTATTTTCACTGAAAATGAATGATCATTTTAGGTAATACCTGTGTGTTTGATTGCAAATAGAGGAACACATTACATTGAGAGATAAACTTTCGGAACATTATCTCTTTAACGGAGGCATCACATCTCTGTGTAAAGTGTTGAAAAATATTGGCTTCAAGTTCAGAAAAGATGATCCACGAAGAGGAATTATGGAACTACCTCACATTGCAGTATTATGTTCCTGCAGACATACATCCAATTGAAAAATGAAGGTTTAAGACTATTTGATTTTATTGATGAGACCTGGATCTTTCAGGATGGTACATTAGGATACTCATGGCTAGATTTCAATGTCAAAAGTGTAAAAAAAACAACCCCCTTCCAGGCATTTTTTATGATTCTCATGAATAAATATGAATAACATTATGTGATTCATATTAGATTCATTATCCTACATACTGGATGTGAAGATGGATTCATTCCTGTAGCAGAATTAATATTTTCTTCTAAAACTTAACATGAAGATTACCATAGCAGCGAAGATAGTCTAGATTTAAGTTGCCAAAACTGGACAGTGATGCGAGATTTATTTGACATTTCGATAAGTGATTTGTTGTGTTCAGCAGATTTTTGAGAATTATTCATTACTAATGATTTGTTCTTGTATAAACTTGTTTGTGGTTTATAAGTGGATCGTTGGTGGATTTTGAATTTGATTCATTCGAAAATGAACGTAAAAACGATTGCCCATTACTTCCACTGCCTGCTGTGAGAGATGTAAGTTTAATGATGATACTAATGATATTTTGTGTTGTCAGAATAATCCAAATACTCCATTACAGAGAGTGGATGCTGCATTAAAAATCAGTATCACTACTGTATGGACAATATATGCGATACAGGAACGTAGTGATGATTTGGCTGGCCCCAAAAAGAACAGTGAAAGAAAAAAACCCATTTCAGACCCTAATGATGGTCAACAAGTTGCAATTAGGAATTGTATCTATGATATGTATAAGAACAGTAAGTATTTTCACTAAAAATGAATGATCATTTTAGGTAATACCTGTGTGTTTGATTGCAAATAGAGGAACACATTACATTGAGAGATAAACTTTCGGAACATTATCTCTTTAACGGAGGCATCACATCTCTGTGTAAAGTGTTGAAAAATATTGGCTTCAAGTTCAGAAAAGATGATCCACGAAGAGGAATTATGGAACTACCTCACATTGCAGTATTATGTTCCTGCAGACATACATCCAATTGAAAAATGAAGGTTTAAGACTATTTGATTTTCTTGATGAGACCTGGATCTTTCAGGATGGTACATTAGGATACTCATGGCTAGATTTCAATGTCAAAAGTGTAAAAAAAAACAACCCCCTTCCAGGCATTTTTTATGATTCTCATGAATAAATATGAATAACATTATGTGATTCATATTAGATTCATTATCCTACATACTGGATGTGAAGATGGATTCATTCCTGTAGCAGAATTAATATTTTCTTCTAAAACTTAACATGAAGATTACCATGGAGAAATGAACCAACATAACTTACACCCCTGGTTTGAAAATCAATTATTGAAAATTTGGAAAAATCTTCCACAATTGTTATGGATAATGCGAGTTACCACAGTACAATGTTGAATACAATTCCCACTTTAGCCTCAAAAAAAAAAAGACATACAAGAATGGCTTATTAAAAAAAAAAAAGTGTTTAAAAGTGTTTTTAACCGCCAGCTTAGTTGCAAAGCAACCCTCGAAAGTCAGAGACTTGTGTGAGTTAAGAAGACGGGGACCTTAGCTTTTTAAGTGTCATCCGAAGCACTACTCGGCTGGTAACCGTGGACAGTCCAAAGGATTGATATCTAGGTACCAAGAATGTTGGGTTGGCCACCTATCTCCTCCCGCCCAACGAAACTACCGAAAATTAATTCAGTGCTCGCGCCGGGGATCGAACCCGGACCGCCTGGGCAACAGTCAGCGACTCTACGCTCACGGCCACCAGCCCAGTATCAACAACATAATTCAGTTAGACTATGGAATGTTGAAGCCACAGTTACTAAATTTGGTCAAATTACTGGAATTATTTATAAAAAAACTTCATAGAGGATTTGACTTATTCAAAATTCAATAAAACATACTATGAACACATGATCTAATACAGAAACTACTCTGTTAGTGAAATATGTGTGTTTCATTAAATTTTGTGTAGATTCAATACTTTTTGAAGGTTTTGAATTACCATGGATTTCCATTCAGTGAGGGTCAAGGCGTTTTGAAATATCAAATTATTCTATAGGGCTAAAATATTATTCAATTTCAAGGACCAAACCACCCCCTGTTTATATGGCAGACACAATTGCAGAACATTATGGTCATCAGGTACTGCAACGTCCACCATACCACTGTATTTCTAACCCAATTGAATTGATATGGGGATCACCAAAACTTAATATAGAGATCATGTTGGCCAGCATGGGAGTTCTGTGGTAAACTCTCTGGATATGTGAAAAGAGTCTCTAAGGCAAGTTACTCCTGAAATATGGGCCAATAGTGTTTGCCATACTGAACAAATAATTCAAAGTTGGTGGGAGAGAGAAAATATTTTGGATTTACAAGATATTCGAGTGATTATAAATGTAGAAGAGGATGATTCTGATGGTGGTGACAATGATTTTGATGACAGTGAAGAAGATAAAATGACATTTGAAATTTTTTAGTGTGCTATATTTAGGTGCTAGAAAATTGTATTATTTAGTGTAAGTTTATTTCTGTAGATTAGGGTGAGAAGATTGTATTATATATTGTTCTCATGAATTTTATTGGGAATATTGAAGTAAGAACAACTTTTGTTGTCTTTCATCATTTCCAATATAAGTAAATGCACCATTATTCATTTTCCCACGAAATAAAAGTGATTGATTGAATTTCTATTTCATTTCAGCAATTTAAAGTGATTGAAAAATATCCAAAACGATTAGATATATACCTAACCTCAAAATTGAATTCGAAGTTTTTATTATTTCCACTCTCTAAAAATGTGAATACTGATCAGTTTCATTAAGAAAAGATGAATTCAAGACATAATTGTGTATTGGTAGGAAAATACGTTATTTATAAAGTTAATATCTATACTTGTTGATGTTATACAGGGTGTTATTTAAGTACGTGGCCAAACTTGAAGAGGTGATTCTTTGAGTGATTCTGAGACGAAAAGTTTATATAAACATAGGTCCGGTAATGCTTCGTTTTCAAGATACAGGGTGTCAAAATTTTTAAAAGAAATCGTTTTTTCGTAAATATCTTAATAACCCTTCAACCGATTTCATTGAAATTTGGCAGTGTTATTCAAGGTCGTAAAGGGCTAATTTAACCCTAACTATATCAAAATTATCATGTCCAGTGGCGTCCCGGAAGGCACTGTAACCAATATTTTTGACAGAAAAAATGTGCGCCACTGATTTTTTTGCAATTTTTGTATTTGTTTCACATTGAGCAATTGAAATTACAACTTTTTCATATCTAGAATTTTTTTCTTGCTTTGTTTTTGAGAAAAAACATAAAAATCACTTCATTGCACATCCCTGTGACAACACAATAAAACATTTCAACTACCAAACCATCAAAAACTGGGGTCTTACTAATATGTTTGATATAGTTAGGGTTAAATTAGCCCTTTACGACCTTGAATAACACTGCCGAATTTCAATAAAATCGGTTGAAGGGTTATTAAGATATTTACGAAAAAACGATTTCTTTTAAAAGTTTTGACACCCTGTATCTTGAAAACGAAGCATTACCGGATCTATGTTTATATGAACTTTTCGTCTTAGAATCACCCAAAGAATCACTCCTTCAAGTTTGGCCACTTACTCAAATAACACCCTGTATAGGTAATGAATCATTTTTTTCTTCGTCGAGGTAGTTGACATCCTTTATGGACATCATTTGGGTCTAATACCTCACTTGATAGTGTGGGAGTCCCCTGATGACTCCAGAAACACTCCACCCCGTTTGTAGGCTCGTCTGACTGATGTCTCCGATGACACTTAGGCCTAGTGACCCAATGAATCTTACCTACATATGTCATTATCAATTTACCATATACGACTAATCGCGCTCATTGAGGGCCACTTCAATATGAAAGACCCCTTTCGTTCAGATTCCTGAAGATTACTCTTTCGATCCCTGTTCTCGTCTACGAAAAAGGCCAAAAGTTTTTCTTCTCCTACGAGTGACGGGGGAAGAAGTTTGTCCAGCAATATGGTGCACCCTGCACAGGGCTGAGACTGTTTACTCTGAGATGCGCCCTGTTTCCCAGAGGCCCCCTTAGCGACACCATACCTTGGTGAAATTCATCTATCGCCACGGGTACCCACAGCTTGGAATAGGTTGCCAGAGTCTCGTTGACCGGTCCTTGGCCACCTAGGCAGATATCATCGAATTTCCCCATCCTCACCAATATATCCACACATAATTCTCCCATCTGGCCCGGAGATAGCAAAGTTGGCCCCAAAATGCTTCGTATGTCGAGCGGCCGGGGTCTGCCCACCCCACACCACTTGATAGTGAGTTTGGACTTGGAGGGGAAGAGGAAAAGAGAAGTTCGTCAGGAAAGGCCAATAGGATAGATCAGGAAAGGAAGAGAGAAGAGACAAGTTGAAGTTTGGAGAATATCCGGCTAGGGTACCTCGGATTCACCATTCCCGTACTCACAAGTTGTGAGTCCCTGAGGGAATAACTGCTAACTGTATTATAAAAACAAGATAATTTAAAATATATTATGTAGCCCGATGTCCTCCATACTTAACGAGATGGACAAAATTATTGCTGTATAATACATTAGTCCTACCGCATTTCACCTATTGCTCCACAATCCTGTATATACGAACCAAAATGAACTAGCACGGATGAAGAAACTTCAAAACAGAACCATGTGCATTATTTTGAATTGTGGAAGACAAACACGTATAAGTGGTATGTTGAAGCAACTGGAATGGCTGCCAATAAAATCTTTTTTTCTTTACCAAACCTTGGTTCTAATCTTCAAAATGAGACATAAAATTGCGCCCACCTATTTACAAGAGAAAGTTAAATATAATGAGCAAATTCACGGATACAACACTAGAAATATAACTGATTTCCACATGTGGACCACATTCAACAAGTTGGATTAACGCAAACCCGAAATTCAATTGTTTTTAAAGGGCTTGACAGTTTCAACAATTTCCCACAAGACATTAAAAGCATAACACCTATAGCTCTCTTTAGAAGGGAATTAAAATCATACCTCTACAATCAATAAAAAACCCAGTAGCCATTATCTGACCATGTTTTTTATAATTTTAATTTCAATATGTAGATATGTGACACGTATGTTTATATGTGACAATTGTACTTATTTAACTATTAAGTGTATTATTATAGACATTATCAAATAACTGTGGTAACCTCAAAATGTAAAATGTAAATTAGTCTATGACTACAATAAAGGATTCATAATATGTATATGTATAATGAATTATTATTCAAATTATTATTTTTGTAAGAATTTCATTATCATTAATAATTTATATTCAGTATATTATTTAGGTTCATAGTTCATTGACTACAAATGTTCATTTATCAAATGTACCTATGTCATTCATGCTGGTTTTGATCCCACGCATCTCTGTTGAATGATGATGATTTTGAGTCGGTTGCAAAAAAACATTATAACGCCCGACGATTGTAACACTGGACATATCCGGTTGGTCAATTAGTCATTTCCTTTCAACTGGAAACATTTGTGTTGACATATTGAGGTCACTATCACTATCAAACTATCTTGAAAGTTGAAAGTCCTTTAGCTGTTAGTAGGTATAGGTATTCTTTTCAAATTTCAGTATTGGATACAAATAAGAATTAAAATGTTCAAAATTGTATACTACAAAAAATATAATAAGTGTGTCACATTGATTTTTGGACTCGCAGACTTCCAAGATTCGCTAACGGCTCGGCCTATATTCAGCTGTTTAACAACATGACGACAATAAGCGTGTCTACACTCTTTAAAGGGCGTGAAATGAGATTTTCGAGGCACTCTACTTTTCATTACCTTAGCTGCTTAATACTAAAATTATTTTATGAAAACAAGAAAATGTCTCAAAAATTCTTTGTCAATTATTTTTTCTTAAATGTTCATCTAGAGTGGAAACTAGTAACGCAAATAGATGAAGTTGATAGTAGGGGAGGCTAAATAGGGATTTACTCGATTGTCGTGGGGACCTATTAGATTGTGAAGATAAGATGCTAAAAAAAAGGTTATATGACGTATGCCCGTTCACTGGTGGGGGGAAGTCCATTTACCTTCAAATCATCAAATTGGACAAAAAAGAATGACGCTATATTGCTTGTATATTTTTCATCAGTCAAATGTATCTACCTTTTTCGGCTTCAGAAAAAATGCTTTTTGGTCGTTTTATGTAACTTCGGCGATGAGTAAATGACATCTTAATTGAATTTCTTTGTCTTTAAACCATTGAATAAAATGTATACGTATCCAGAAAATATTCCATATTATTCCCTACAACATGAGAAAAGTTTTTGTATTTTTTAGCAAAGGCAGTTCCTGACGCGAAACGCTGAATTTTTGTTAGTGAGCGTACTAGATGTTGCACTGAAAAAATATAAAGAAGATACTGGATATGATTGTGTCACTTTGGCCAAACTTCGAAATGAATATTCCGCCCTAGCCAAAGGCGTTTCTCCAACAGCTAGAGGCACCAAGACAAAATATTGTTCTGAATTTGTATAGAAGTTGTAATTATTTTAGTAACAATTGTGTAAGGCCAGATATAATATATATATGTTCAATTATATTTATTTAACAAATTTTTTTAGTTTGATTTGGTGTGGGATTAAAGTCAAGCGATAAGTGATCAAATATCTGAAAAAGGCAATAATTGTCAGCGTTAGTTAACAGAAGAGCTACTTTCATGGGGATTTACAACAGAAGTTTTATCCATAAAAGAAATATTGTTTATCAATTCAAGACAATAAACACTGAAAAGAAACCTCAGCGAGAAGGATGCTTAGATAAACATGGACAAAAAATCCAAGCCTTCCACTTCCGAGTTTTTAGAATACAAATCAGTCTACACCCTGTTGGTGCTTTGTACTTAGATTTAGGTAACCGAGTATCTGAGCATATTGACTTGAATCTTTTTTTCATATAGAAATTTCGAAGGATAGCGAAGGGACCGAATATAGCGAAATAATTTCAAGTTATAATTTCATCTCTTCCAGATTAGTCTCATGGGAATATTATTCAGTATCTTAATATGAATCAAGCTATTGTCAATCTTGAGAATGAAGCAAAGACTCATCGAATATTATTAATAAAGTCAGCGTCTCTGGGCTAAAACCTCGATGAGAACGAGATTGAAGTAGGAATTGCTACATAACGGGAAATCTGAATACGAGTGACATCTCTATCAATGAAGTGCTAGATGGGATAGCGGTGGTAGGAACGAGAACACCGACCAAATTACGGTTTGGTTTATGTAAGGGATCTGTGATCTGTTTGGAATTCGCGACGGCTTGACCTAATGTTAGCGAGATGGCGTCATTAGTACCATAGCCAGGATTTCAAATCCTAACAGATAGTGTTCATGTCAGTGGATTTAAGTAATTTGAGATGTTATGATTGGCTGAATTGGCTTAGTTATTCCTTCTACTGAAAAAATATCAATAATAATAATACCCTCATATCCAAAAAATATAAAGCCACCCAGTTATCAATTGAGCCGTGGTGGAATCTGCAGCCATCCTGAAGACGTAACCTGGTGGCAAAAATCGGATAAGTATAGCCTGAAGTTCAGGCTCTGAACGTCGCTGGAGTTGTGAAGTCTATGTCAAGCGAGCGGACTTTCCCCACATCATTCGTATAATCAGAACGATCGAGACGTAGGCACATCGAATCTGATCTGGTGGCAGCGCTATCATCTTTTATAACCACATGAAAATATAATCCTATAGTCCGTCAGGACTGTCAGGAGTAGTTTTGGAGGGATTCGGCAGATTAGATATTTACACACCAGAGGCCCTCTTCCCCTTGGGTCGACGACAGAATGTTATTGCAGTATAGTATATTTAAAAAGTCTTATGTCGTATTGCACAGCATCTATACACATAGATATCTCATTCACCAGCTGCTATATGGGCACATTTGAACTCATTTTGACGACTTTCCCCCTACAAACAAATTACTCCATTTTTCAAGTGATTGACCAGTTACTCAATAGAAGCAGGTGTTTCATATGGTGCATGGATGGAACATTAGAAGTAGGTTTCTGGGGAACTAAGTGACATATTATTTGGAAAAATTGTGAATGCTCTTCCTGTCTAAAATTGCTTACAGTGTTGCCGCTAATATCAGAAAGTAGTAGCTACTCTGTTATTTCAAATATATCACCCCGTATATTAAGTATGTCATTTTTGGAATCCTTCTGGAATTCCTCATAAACAGGGAGGCCAGAAGTAACCACCTTTCGAGGACTCATGGCAAATGACTGATAAAACTCAGTTTTTTTAAATGGAACACCCTGTATATTATTACTCATTTGGAAAGCTATACTTTCTAACATTCAACTGTGTAAGTTTTCCATTTTATACCTATCTCCTCAGCGACATAAAATTTGAGGAATTTGTTATTCTCTTTTAATTAATGTTCATCAGCCAACACGTATCGCAAAACACTCTGCTACGATAATTGATTATATGTGTTCAAATTTAGATGATCAAAGTACCTATATGTTGTTATAATATTCCTGCAGGACTCTCGGATCATGAAGCAATATTTTTCCATTCAAACATCTTCAGTATCAAGCCTCATGAGAGGAAGTACCGATATGGTAGAATCTATAGTGCAAAAATTACAAGAAATTACAAGAAAATTGCCAGTTTAAACCATGGGAAAATGTTATAAAATCTGTAGAACCTATCGAAATTTTTCATCAATACCTAACAGCATTATTCATGGCATGTTTTCTATTGAAAAAGCTGAAAATGAAAACCAAAAAACAATGGGTACCAAAAGGAATACAAGTTTCTGCTCGAAACTTAAGATCTCTTCAGATCATACGCAAGCACTTATATAATGAGTCATTCATAACATATTTTCATAGACTGCAAAAGAGGTACATTATAAAAATAGAATTGAAACTTCTCAAGATAAATCGAGAGAAAATTGGAAGATTATTAATGAACTACGTGGCAAACATGCCTCAAAACTATCAAATATTCATATTGATCCTGATATATTGAATAAATTTTATTGTTCAATAGGTGATGAACTTATATCCAATCTAAATTCACATGTAGATGCTACAGACTATCTGAAGTATGTTAATATTGCAGAAAACTTTTGCCTTCAAGATATTGACATATTTGAAGTAAAAGATGTTATCAATGAAATAAAAAACAAAAAGTCATCAGGCATGGATGGTTTATGTGTAAAAATATTTCAAAATCTACCTGACTATGTTCTTCACATTCTTGTCGAAGCAATCAACAAATCCTTCAGAATGGGAGAATTTCCACTTCGCTTGAAACAAGCTGTTGTTATCCCCTTGTATAAAGGAGGTAATACAGATGAACCCTCAAATTATCGACCGATCTCACTTTTGTCAACATTATCGAAGATTATTGAGAAAATAGTTAAACGTAGGATGATGAAACATCTAATAAAACATGATATTTTGAGCCATTCTCAATTTGGATTTCAAGCAGGTAAGAATACAAATGACGCCTTTTTCTCGTTACTTGAGAACACTTTCATGGCCATGAATGATGGAGAAGCAGCTGCAGCAATATTCTGTGACTTTTCGAAGGCGTTCGATTGCGTGAGTCATGAAATACTGTTAGACAAACTGAAGTTTTATGGCTTCAGAAATGTAACATTAAACTGGTTCCACTCATACCTGACAGAAAAGAGTCAATTAGTTGAAATTGGAGAGAACCATTCCAACATAGGGAAAGTCTCAATGGGAGTACCGCAGGGATCAGTTTTGGGTCCTATTCTCTTTCTCCTATACATAAACGACTTAGCCTCCATTCGTATTCAGGGTAGATTCACCATGTTTGCTGATGACACATATTATATGGCGTGGTAGAGATATAAAACACCAGAAGGAAACAATTGCTTTGGATATTACAGAAAATAAGCACTGGTGCGACTCCAATAAACTTTGCTTCAATTTGAATGAAACTAAGTTGATTACATTCAAGTTCAATTATGATGATTTATACTTGGCGGACCATATTATTATGAGTAAACCTAACACAAACTTTTTAGGGTTGATTATAGATAGTAAGCTCAAATTTGAAATTAAAAGAATTGCCTCAGGTTGTTTTGCGATAAAAATCGTATCTAAGGAACTGAATACATCCTCAGCCAGGATGGTATATTTCTCCTTGATCGAGTCTCTTTTGAGATATGGTATTGTTTTCTGGGGTTTATGTAGTGAATATTTATTCAATTCTGTTTTTTTACTACAGAAAATAGCAATTCGGTATCTGGGTGTGGCCTAGTATCGTGATCATTGCAAACCTCTTTTTATTAATCAACAAGTTCTGACACTGACTTGCTTATTTATTTTGGAAACTGCAAGCCTTATTCATGAGAAATATGGTAAGACTGAGTGAACGGAACTATCAAACTAGAAATGTATGTATGTAATCTGACAAAAAACTCTGTAATATATGGGAGCAAAAAAATATATAATCATCTGCCAATAGTATATAGGAAGATCAATTCTGTGAAAATCTTCAAAAATAAATTGAAACGGGCATTATTGCAGAACGCTTACTATAACCTGCAGGAGTATTATGACGACATACTACTTTATACATACATAGGTTTTGACGATGTGCGAACCACTATCATTTGTTTGTGATACAATTTTTATCTCATTTTATTTATGTTTGTTATGTTTTATACAATTATTACTATGACGCTGTCATATTATATTTTATGACTACTTTATTACATTTTTTGAACTGATTTTATTAGTAGTACTTTAGTTCTTTTGTGTTGATGATAAAATATTGATCATCAAAAATATGCTGGTATTCGGTTTCATTTTTTATTTCATTTTATTTTTGTTCTGTGATCTATATCATGTTTGTTATTATATATACATTGCATGCTTTGTCAATAAGCAGATCTATATCTTCGACAATAAAGTACACTTTTGATTGATTGATTGATTGAAAATAATTTATGTTAAGAATTCGTCTTCTATAAATAAATGGATTTAGATAGTATTCCGATATGATTTTGATGGTTTATTCATCATTTATGGTCAATGTAAAAAGAATGTCAAAAGAACATACTGCGAATTTCGAGATGATCTATCGTTTGGTTCTCTAGATGAGATAACTTCTAATGTTCCATCTACAGTGACACCTTATAGAAAAAACATGTTTTATATTTCGCTTTCCAAACATACAGAAGTTTTCATGGAAACAATTAAAAAGCGGACATGGCAAGGGTGTATGGAATTTTTGGCCATCTGTCACCACGAACGTGAAACGCGTGAGTTTAGTATTTCTACAAAAATCTATACAGGGTGTTCGGAATTAATAGTCATGTCATAAATGATAGAATGAGCCCAATAATGTTAGTACTTGCTTGAAGGGGGTAGTTCAGTGAAATAAGGGTGACACATACTCATGATCGATATACCCTTTCTAGCTATATTTCTGAAATTTGGAACATCGAATATGCTCACTAGAGGGCGCATATTCTCACAT